AATTTTCTGAAATAAAATGTTAAAAAATAAGACTTAAAAACATGAATTAAAATTGTATAAGATGTCATCTTTTATATGTAATTAATTATACATATCACTTAACGTGACATATTATGTATTAACAGTATTTAGGTATAAGGCTTAAAATGCACAATAAAAATAAAAGTTAGAAATTAATGTGACATTTTTAAAATTTTAAGAACGAAAATATCCAATGCTTACTATCACAAAGACTTAAATGAATGTTTAGTTATAAAATTTTAGCCTTAGTTAGATTAGGAATGCAAAAAAAAAATAAAAAAATTCACATCCTTCGTTAATTAAATAGCTTGTGATGATAATTATTTCACTTTCCCTTAATATATTATTCCATAAAGAAGACTTTCCTTTTTTTTTTTATCTTGATTCCATATCACTTGTTCCAAGTCTATTATCCATCCTTTAGTACCTTTAACGAGCCTATTAGTGTGTTTAGGATTGATACAACATGTCAAAAGGCTTTAATTTTTGTTTTGCTCACATCCTTCTCGATCTTTTCACTGGCTAGTTTATATTTCTCTCAAATTTTAGGATCAATACAATTATCATGTTTTGAACTTTTCCTTTTAATCTTAACTTAATCCAATAATGTTATGCTTCTAGGTTTTATTTAGGAATTTAGTCAAAGAAAGAAAGAAAAAATTTGAAAAGTAAAGAAAGAGAAGAGAAGGAAAGATTAATTAATACAAAATTTTATAAATTAAATAAACTTAACAATATTAGATTAGGAGAGTTTTGGAGTTTTTATAAACTTTTTTTTTTATTTAAAAACTCTCAAACATTTTATATAAGTCTTCTCATTTTCTTTTTTTCAAAAACTAACTCTCAAACAAAAATTTCATATTCTTTATTCATAAATCTACATCGTATTGATTTGAGAATTTCTTTTGATAACTTTGAGATCCTTTGGATATTATCCCATATAATAAGTTTTTTTAGGAACCCATATATCAAGCTTGTTATGAACGTGAACAATAAAATGTAGAAGTGACTATTTTTAGGCAAAACATTAGATATGGTATTAGGATTGTTATAAGCCAGGTTGATTACTCCTGGAAACGGAGTTACACATAAGTGTTATTTTCGAATTACAAAATAAAAGAATGAAGATTTCACGAAGGAGAAAATTTTCAAATTTTAGAAACGAAAATTGCAACACATAAAACAAAACAAGCTCTATAGTCTATATCTAGAATTCAAACAGAGTTTTATGGCCGCAAAAACTTTAAATTATATACGCAGATAATATAGATGCTTTCTATACTGTGTTCATAGTTGACGAGTTTTTTTTGTTGAAAATTTGGTATTAGGAACAAGCTAAATTTAGGAACAATTAATTAGAAATGATACTAAATGTAATTAGTGGATCGAATGTGATCTAGCATTCAATAACACTATACTCAGCAATATACATATATTTTTCTTAATACTTTATTGCTTGAACCTTTTTTGCCTATGATGCTATATATAGGCTTGGTGATATTGGTATTTGATTCAAAGTGACTCTTTATTAAATAATAAATCTATTAATTGTTATAGATTCTAATAACTATAAAAATAAAATAAAATGAAATGATGCTCTATGAACGTGTATTTGGACAACTTTCTTGTTCCGTGGTTACAAAGGGGCAAGGCATTTCAAATGGGAAATTGGCAAGTCGCTGTCTCAAACCAAATTTCGATTGACCGCAGCAGCAGCAATTTCTGGTTGCAGTGGCAAAGTGATGTGCCAATGCCACGATGGAGATGTGACTTGGCAATTCCCATTCTAATATTACGTGTGTACCCGCTGGAAGCATCATTATTTTATTTTTATTTTTAGTTAATATAGAATATTTAAAAAATTAGACATTTTTGTGAGTAACTTTAAAGAGTAAATTTGTCCAGACTTTATAAAATATGTTAATATGATGAACACAGAGAATGCAAAAGATTAAAGTAAGTAGTCGTCAATTAATGATTATGCATTAGTACAAAATAATAAAAATAAACAAACTGCAAGGTGATAGATGGTGAGGCCTAAATGGAAAGGAAAAGCATAGAATATACGAGCATGATGCACCTAAGGAATCTGTTGGAGACTAGATCATGAGTGTGAAGGTCCCACATGGGGTGGGCGATAATTGGTACACATCATCGAGGGGGGAATAATTCAGTCCCCTTGTTAGAAACCAACCATTGCATGTTATCTGAGGGAATCACGCCCATAATGGCTAAGCCAACCCAGCATGAAGCCATTCAAAGGTGTTGTCCTAGTTTAGCATCCACGTGCCTTCTCCACATTGGTTGAGTGTTAAGGTTAATGGTCACAGATCATTTTCAGCAGTCTTTTTTTTTGCTGAGGATGTGCGGTCCATTGAGAGTGGGGACTCTCCACCGCCCTTCAACTTTTTACCTAAACTTTGTCGCTTTACAGACAACGCTTCTTATAGCTTTGTGGTGGTAAATATCTCTGAGTGCTTCAACTTATATCAATTTTATATTTAGTTGATTTCAAATTAGTGTCTTTCTAATAGAATCTAATATAAACAGCAGTAACATGTCGGAATGATGATTAATGTTTGAGTCATTTAAAACGAAGGAAGAAATCTTGCCTACTCTCGACCAAATGGACTGATTGCATTATCCAACAGACATTATTTCTGGAAATGGTTTTTATTTTTAACCATGCAGATGTAATTCTAACATCTTCTTCCATAACAACGTGATTTTATTGCTTTCGGATAGTAAGGTACCAATTTACTAAATAAAATTCTATAGATTACATGGATAAAATTTAGTAATTAAATAACAAGGCATAATGAAAACGGAAGGCTAAAGAATACATAAATTTGTGACACGCAATTGGAGAAGGAAACAATCCAGCTTACGTTCAGAATGGGAATTAACATTATCTCGACACTATAGATGAGCATTATTATGAAGATCCCCGATAATGTTTTTTAAATTTCATGGCCAGCATGATAGTGTCTTAGCCCAAAGGAGCAACAAGACGTGTAAGGGATAGAAACAAGTATAAATAAAGGACAAAAGCTAATTTAGTATCGTGAAATGACCAAATCACCTCACGCAATGCATCCCTGGTAAAAATACAAAATAAAATTACATGGTCGAATAGTAATTAATTGTATTATAAATTTATGTCTCGTAAAATTAATTTATTTTAAATAATTCTTAATAGAAGAATAATTGAGAGAGAATTTAAAATATGTTTAAAAAAACAATTGTAGGAATTTTGTAAGATAGATAGAGTGACGTGGCACATGAAACGGGTAAAAGGGGGGGTGTGTCACGAGTGTAGGACGTGGAAAGCATAGGCATGTGGGGCCATGTGAAGTTTTGGTCTTTTGGAAAAGGGGGGTTCCCAACGCTGTGAGCAATGCAAATGGGCCGATTCAGGGAACGAAAAGTTGTCCACGCAATTAACCTCTTTTTTTCTTGTGTTGTTTTTTCTTTCCTATTTTTTCTCATATGGGTCCCACAATTCATTTGGGATTTTGGAGGGTAATGATGCCCATTCATGACGGGCCCCACATCAGGCACCGCCCTATTTCCTTTGTTGCCTTTCAATTGGCTATTTCTCCAAACTCCCAAACGTCCGTTTCTCATTTTGCTTCATGCTTTGCAAAAGCTAATCTCCCCATCCTTAATTTTTGGTGCACAGCTTAACTTGACCATAACAGGCAAAAACATACCTTTTTCTTTAACATGTTACGGACACCAAGCTTCCTTCACATATCACATTATAATTATACATGCCAGCTAGAGTTCCTATGTGCCCACTAATTTAATTACATTTAATTAGTGCTACATTAGCAACATATTTCTTCCATGGGTACCACACCCATTAACCAAGGACAGATTTTGTAGCTGTATAACAATGCTAATTATCTGCACAAGTGAAGTAATTGGGTACGGTTTCAATTAAAGTCTTTGTGAGGTGAGGGCTTTTCATGAGAGAGATCAGACTCCTCAGTGTTGTTCTTGTCTGTGGAAATTATTAAGTTTTATGTTTATTTGTTTTCCATTATTTATGATTGCTCCATTTTGGATGCCTAGCTGGCTAACTTTTCGATCTGGGGAAAAGGATGGGTCCACTCTAGAGTGGTAGAGCACATTTTTTAAGGTGTTAATAATACGAGGGGGGAAAGAATTATATTATTTATATAATATTTTTATCATATTACTTTTATTTTTTATTATATCAAATATCATTTTTTTATTTCATAGAAAATTAAATAAAAAATTGCACAAATATTATTGCTCAAAAGAAAGACCCTTCCACTCCACACCAAAGAGGAAAGACTTGCTGCTCGTACAAAATGGGGATTCCCCCATTAGTTGTCACCGTGTAAACTTTATGTAATTTGAGTAAATATAGATCTTGATTATTTAAAAGATACAAATGATATCATCCTGATTCTTTATTAATAACTATTTAACGGAAATACTATTTGATATAGAATTTTTAACACGAATATTGTCGTGTGTAATAATTAAAAGATATAGTAATCTTTTCATTTTGTGAATTCTTTAACAAAAAACTATTCACTCCTTTTAATATATTTCTATATTAGAATAATTCGAGATCATAATTTGGTTTAAAGAAAATAATAAAGGATATTTTACCATATTTACGATAAAGAATTAATGAAAACTAAAAATGAGTGGTTTCACTTAATTTCTACACTGTATATACACGTACCAAAATAATTGTATTAGTAAGATCTCATCTATATGTACTTATTTTTTTGTTTTATTTTGCATCAGGGATAAATAAACAAAAGGAAAAACTTTGACAACTAGGCACAGCGATGTCTTTTAATTAGTGTCAGTGACATGCGTCATCAATTTGAAAAAGATTCTTCCAAGTGATCACACCTCACACACTCTTCTCTCTTACTTCTACTATTCAATACTCTACGCCTCTATATAAACCTCTCACGCTTGATCAACTCCTTCACCTCACTCACAAAACACACTCTTTCTTTCTCATTCAAACACTTCTCCAACCTTTTCTCAAGTTTTATTTGAATCCCTCTCTCCTTTCCAAATGGCCAGTGTTGAGGTAATTCAAAGATTAGTTTCTTTGTTATTGCCTCTGGTTTTGTACTTCCCTTCATTAGTCCACGTGTGTAGTTTAGTTCCTACATGCAAACGATGAAAATCATAACTTTAATTACGGAATATAGCTATTTTTTATTTTCACTTTCTTGTTTTGTTTGTTGTGATTCATTGCCGATCAACGAATCAGTTTGATTTTTTTTCTGTCTTGAGAACGTGTGCGATATACAAATTTAAATATTGCATTTGCGATGGTAAAAGTCTCTTGCAATAATATAATCGCCGCATATTTGGTAACCATCAATATATACAAACCAGAAATTGCTGCTTAATCTGCACGAGATTTGAGAGTATCAACGTGTTTCATAGCCTTCTTGATCAATGATTGACTATGAAACACGAACCATTTTTTCGGTGGATCAATATCTTTAAAATATTTATTGGTATGTTGAATTGGGTTGCGATCAACAGTTCTATGTGAACCACGTTTCTTTTCTTTTCTTACTTTTTTCTTGTTGATCTGGTTAATAAAATCACAGTTGCATAAGAAGCGAAGATCATTGATCAATTTATGGCGTAAGTTCTTTTTATCTTTTCCGCTAAGCAGACTCAATAATTTCTTAAAACTAAAACCAACGATACCCCAACTAGTTGTTGAAGCTAATTAACGCGCCACCCCCCCCCCCCCCCCCAATAACCGCGTTGAACTTCTCCAAGCTTAAAAGAAAAGGAAAACAATGATTCTATCACTATATTTGGCTAGAACTTTACTTCATAAGTTCTATTAATTTCACGATAATTTAGACGATTTACATATGTCTTGTAACACATTATGATAGTTTTGATTATGTGATGTTTCATTCAAGTGTCCCTCCCTTCAAGTATTTGGTTTCTCATTTTTATAAAATCTATTACCTTTGTAAAGTTTGGCTCTATAAGACTTTGTTAAGTAAAAATAGATCTTATCTAACAGGTTGTACAACAAGCTCCACCACCAGTGCAAGAGAATGAAACAACCGAGGTAACCAAGACCCAGGAAACAACCACAGAACAACCAGCCACTGAGGTTCCTGCCCAAGAACAATCAGTAGCTGAGGTTCCTGCTCCAGAATCGACCACCCAACAACCAAAGGAAGAAACCACCGAAGAACCAAAAGAAACAGAAGCAACAACAGAAGCTCCAGCTGCTACAGAAACCCAAGTTCTAGTTGAAGGTGAGACTGTGGAGGAGGTAACAAAGGACAAAGAGGAAGCAAAGCCAGAGGAAGAGAAGCCAGCAACAGAGAAATCAGAGGAAAAAACTGAAGAAGTGAAAGAAGAAGCAACAGCAGAGGAGCCTAAAGAAGCTACCAAAACAGAATCAGCACCAACAGCAACAGCACAGGAAGAGAACAAACCAGCTGAGTCAGCAGCGGAAGCCACAGAAGAGGTTACTGTTGAGAAGGCTGAAGCTTAGAACTACGGATAGAGTGAGTAAAAAAAAATGTTTAAATCGTCCTTCTTGTTGTTGGGATCAGGTCTACCATTTTGCATGTCATGGTTGAAAAGCTTTTCTATTTTTATTTCATTAGTCTTTATTATTAATATTATTATATGATGGTAAGTCTTATGGTTGTATGGTGGGTATACCTACATGTAAGCATGGCCCTTGGCTCCACGTCAGCATACATGCCAAGAGCTGGACATGAGAGATACTAGGAGTTGTGTATTGAAGTGAACTAAGCTGCTGGCGCTTGAGTTTGTGGATGATGGTTATGGGTGGGTTACATGAGTTTGTGATGGTGTGTTATTGTGTTTCTCTAGGTTTGAATAAATGATATTTACTTTTATACTGTTACTTTTATCAAAGAATATTTCGTTTTTAAATTTGCTTCTATCTCTTTCTATTAAATTACATCACTAATTATATTTATGATTCTCGCTTTTCTATTCCTCTTTGTCACTAGGTTTACACCCCTCTTAAAATGTCTATCAAACATTATTATATAGTAAGTTCAAAAGGTATGTAAGCCAATGGAGGTGGTTCACACGATGCATGCCTATAATTTTTCTTAAATAAAGTTTTGGATTCAAACTATGTGTGATATGTTGTTTTGTCATTAGAACGTCTAAATTATATATTAGAACAAGTTATAAAAGATGAGTATTTTTCCTCTCCTTAAATTTGACTCTTCACAAATGCGAAACCACACGTGAATAACTAACAACGCAAATTCCAATTTCGAAGACTGAAGCCAGTATAGTTCACAGCCATTCCATTATTTTTCGGGGGAAAAAGTGTAGCATTTGTATCCTGAATTAGCGTCGTAACCAGAAAACAATTCCTGGAGGAAGACACTGTATTAAATGAAAGTTCATGATTAAGGACTACTGCACGTTGCAACAGAATTTCCTACTCCAGTGAAGGGAAAAAACAATAAAAAGTTCTCAAAATCATTCTTGCATCAATCTGTTAAGAGTTTCTCGTAAAAGTATTGATACCAATAAAAAAAACCACATTAACCAAAATTTTATTGTTAAAAAATCGCATGTATTAGAAAAAACATTTACGCCCTTAATATTCTTAATGATCTTCAAGAAGTTGCAGACAAAGGTTTCTGCCTCCTAAACAAAAAATTCAGAGGGCAGATAGTAGTAGCTTTTTTCTTCGGGGTGAACAGTGACGTAGTAAACGCATCACAATTGATAAATTGTTTGAATTTTGAAAATGCTAATTCTAAATAGATTATGAGGAATAGTAGCACTTTGAACATGACCAATAGCTATTTAGTAAAATGATCACATCAAAGAATCATCAATTTTTCCTTCCTTGACTGATACTTGACCCCATATATTAATTCATTTGACAGAAGATCAAGTGACAAATTGACAATGCTACCAACAAATAATTTGAGAAACAGAACCAGAGCCTTTTCACATTATCATTTTGTGATCAGATGTAATCCTATCCTACCTTGTAATTTGTACAAAGTTGAGTGTCGATATTACAATGTGCAATCAAATTCTCTCCTACCCGAATTGCAGGTGATCATTACGTTTCATAGAGCTGCAAATGCATAGTTGGAAAGCCAAACCACTGAAACCAACTGGTATGTATTTCACAGATGTCCAAAAGAAAAGAAGAACCTTCCTCTGTTCTGCAGACATTCTCCCAACACCTTCCTAAGTTTTCTTTTTTTTTTTTTCATAAAATATAATATTAAAAATTAACAATTGAGTAGCTTCTCCTATCAGATGTTTAAGCAATGAGTTATGGAAAGCCTTCAAAAAAAAATTATTTCAAAGACTTCATTAAACACCATAATGACTTATGAAGAGAATTTATTGCATATCCACAAAAGGTGAAACTACTACGATAATAGATTTTAAAATGATTATGCAATTCAGCAAGAAAACAGTGAATTCATATTTTCTTAACATGCTATCTCTGAATAAGTCCTCAAACGGACAATTACCATTAACACAATTTTATTAGACGGTTTCAGTAAAGGTAAAAATATAGCTGCATTATGGTATTTTCTTTTTGTAAAAAAAGTACCAAAATTGTGATTCCATGCTGCATAACAAAAACAAATCACTATGAACCTAAGGGAGACATTTGTACAAAATGTAGTCACATCAAGGTTGAACCTATTGGGCTAGGTGAAAGGAATAATTTAAACACAGATAAGATCTCTAGCATGATTGATGACCAGTTAGGAAAGTAGTAGATTTCAATAACGATTCTAAGTTTTAACAAAGCAAACAATTCCTTTAAGGAAAGTGAGAAAGTTTATAAGTATCCAAAACAATGATGCTTTCCAAGAAGCAATAAGGCATTAAAACCCTTTTTGCTACACTGGATAAAATGGAAATGGTATTTCACTCCCATGGAGCATTGAATCAAGATCTTCAAGCTCTAAACTTTTAAAGAACTGTTGGAGCTTTGTGTTGGAAAGATTATCAGCAAAGCATTGGCAAAATGTGATATCTGCTCAGATATGGATGTTACAAAACGTTTCTGTATAAGAAGATCAACAAACTTCTCCCTGTTCTTACTATTCACTACAAGGTTTTTCCCACTTGGACAAAGCTCAACCACTTTCCTGGATCCTAATTCCTCTACCTGTCTAACAAATGTCAGACCTAATGCATCATCATCCATCTCCGATATTTGCTTGCAGCTTCTATACAAGAAAGGATTAGCATCCGATTTATCTTCTAATTTAATTTAGTTTCCAGCCAATTGCATGAAAAACACACGATAAAAAACAATAGCACTTGCAGGCAATAAAACGACCAGAGAAACTGTAGTACTCAAGGTGCAGAGGATGAACCTTAGATGCTGCAGACAAGTAGACAAAGAATAAACTAAATTTGATTGTGCAAAAGAGCTCTAATAAAATCTATAGATACAAAATATACAGAAAACCACATCAATTCTAAAAACTGATTAAGCAACCATAGGCCCTAATATTAACAAATGTGAAAGAGTTAGTGACAAAATGCTAATGATTGGACATGTTAAGCGTTGATGAATTGAAAGTGTCAACAGAATAGTTTCTAAAAAGAACTTGCCCATACATTTAACAATTCATGGATATTTAAAAAGCTACACCCTTAACTTCTCCATCAATCCTTACCACTGTGCCCTTCACTTCACTTCACAGAACCCACTCATGCTAGCATTTTTTAATTTTGGTGACTTGCTAAAAGCGATTTTGTTATTTTTTTCATTAGTTTTAAGTAATTCCTTCTTTACTCATTTTATTTCTTAAACCTTACTTCTTTTTTTTTTACACTGAAAAGGAAGAAAATATGTTACAAATAATAAAAATAAACAGATATCACGATATTCATTATTTTAGAAAACAATAAACTGTTAATGTCTTGAAAATGATTTAAGAAAGTCACTAAATCCTATTTATTTATAATAAAATTTTTATAAATGATGTGAAATTAAAAATTATTATCCTAATTTAAAGATGATAAATATTTTTTAATAAATTAAAGTTAAAATAATATATTTTTAAAATATATACTTAGTATTTTTTTTAAAATATATACATTTAATTATAATGCTCTTATTTATCATTTTACATTTGTCAATTAGGCTAATAGCTAATTTTATCCCATTACTTTCAATTTAATACACTTTTCAGCCTTTTTTTTCAATTAAATTTTATATAATTTGTCTATTAATTCTGTCAAACCCATCTCTCCTGTCATTAATTTAACTGTCAATATATAGATATTATTTAGTTAGGGTCAATCTATTATCACTTTTTATTGATCAATTAAATTAAAGAAAATGGTTTTTAACTAGTGTAAATTTGTTGAAAGTATGGTGATTCTTTTAATTTATAAAAATTAAGATTAAAAATTTCATGTAAATAAATTAATTTATGACAATAAAAAATTTAAAAATATTTTTTACTTTACCTAGATAATCCAACCTAATCTTTATCATATTAATTTAGTTGACACTGACTTAAAAAAATAACATTTAAATATGATCAATCTAACTTTAAAAAAAAAAAAAAGAGACAACTTTTGAACCCTACCTATCAAAATCTGGTTGCTCGAAACATGCAAAAGGCACCCAGAAATCCTAATGCTGAACGCTGTAATGTGGAAGGAAGAACCACTGCGTGCGGGAAGAATTTAACAGCCCAGCGAGACCTGAAAAGATAAGAATTAAAAGACGATTAACATTTGAGAAATGCTGAGGAATTATTCTTTCAACACATTTTTTAATTCATTTTTATAATTTATTTTTAAAAAAAATAAAATATTTGTTTTAAAAATTAATCAACTCTTATAAAAAAATTGGTAAAATAAAAATTACTTTGAAATTGTAATAAATAATTACTTTAAATTGTTTAAAAATAACTAATTATAAAATGTGTGTTGGAAAATATATTAAAAAAAAGTTTGTTGTTAGTAGGGGTATATAAGGCTTGTCTGTTTTTTTTACAAAACCTATAATTTTTAAAATTATATTCGATATATTTTCAGTACGAGTTTGAATTCTTTCAATCTCATTTATTGTATTTTTATATTTTATATGCTATTTTTTTTAACTAATTATATATGAATAATAAAACTTTGAAAATTTTGTAGAGTTCTTTTTTATATATAATGATATCATATTTATATTGATATTATTTGTTTTAAAATGTATATTATAAAATATTTTTATTTTTATTTTATGCTTTATTATTTTTATACTTTAGTTATACATAATATTAAAAATAATATAGTTTGTTTGTGAAGGAAATCAATGCAATCTTATTTTTATTTTTATTATTTTTATACTTTAGTTCTTTATTTTTATTTTTATTTTATGCATTCATTTTAACAATTTTCATGACCTTATTACTATTAAATGGAAACTATTTTTAAATTATAATTTCAAAAATGAAAAGAATAATAAGAGTTTTAAATTAAGTGAGGTACAGTGATTTTGTTATTTTTTTAAACTATGTCTTAAATGTTTTATACATTTATCATAACTTGAAAATAAAATTGTAAATAAATTTAACATTTAAATACCTTTTAACTATCTCCAAATAGGACTAATTTCAAAAAATTATCTCAGAATTTTTTTTTTTCTATTTTATTATCTAACTAATTTTTATTTTATTTTATACCTGACATTAACTTTCGTCAGTTAAATGGTAATGTGGTTAACAGTTTGTCATGTCACTGTGGATCTCTCTCATCTACCTCACCATTAAACCACCACGTTCGGATCCTACATCAACATTTTTTAATTTTAACTTAAAAGTTGTGTTTTAGGTGATGCGAGAAAAAGAGGACCAAATCTAAAAGTTTAATTGAAGAAGAAGCATAGAATGAAGACGCTGAAGAAGGAAAGTGGGCCAAATCTAAAACTCTAATTGAAGAAGCACAAAACAAAGCGTTGAAAAGGGAAAGTAGGTCAAATCTAAAACCCTAATTGAAGAATAAGCACAGAACAAAGATGTTGAAGACGAACTTGAAAGAAAGAAGAAGCAGAAAAGGAAAAAGAAGGTTAGGGTTCTCTATTGTGTGTTGTCGTTATCCATTTGGGGTTTCGTTTCGATTCTTTGTCTTGAGGAAATGAGTAGTGTGAATGGTTCATCATGCTCATCTTCTACACGAGCTGTAACTTGCAAATGTAAGAAACTCGCTATAATTTGACCTCACATAGTAAGGATAATCCTGGTAGAAGGTTTTGGAGATACTCTGGTTGGAATGTAAGTTTAACTGGTTGTATTTGTTCTGAATTTGTGATTGTGTTTATAAATTTGTTTGTATTTGATTTGCAGGAACTTAATTCTTGCAATTATTTTTGTTGGGTTAAAGAGCCTATAGATGAGGACAATGAGTATGTTATGTTGAAAGAAATCCATACAATTTAAGAGTTGAAGGCAAAGATCAGTGATTTAATGGAGGTTAAAAAAGCAACTGAGAAGAAAATGGCAAAAATCAAAGAAGAGATGGTGAGACTTCAGCAAGAATGTCATGATCTCCATCAATAACTTACATTAATGAAGCTTAAAATATCCCACAAAAAGAAAAAGATTGTTATTAAGAGGAATAGAGTGAAGATTTTAGGATATTTAGTGATTGTGCTTTAATTTTCATTACCATTATAAGCATTGTAGTAGCAATGAATGTTGTTGGTATGAAAGTATTAAATGTTGACAGATTGTAATTTAATGGAGTGAAAGTTGTTTTGAATATGATTGAATGAATTCAATGGTATAAGATTTATACTCATGGTTCTGTTCACTGTATTTTTTATTTTGTTCAACCTGTTGAATTTGGTTTAATGACATAAGATTTATGTTGCACATTGTTTAATATAATCAAAAGGTACAGAAAGTGGTTCATAAAAGGGTTCTCATTCACATGAATACTAACTTAAAATAAGTTGTCGTACATTGTTTAAAATAAAGTTATATTACTTCCAATAGAATATAACATAAAGTACTATTTCCTCTCCCAAAATGGTTCCCAAAAAATACAGTCTTCATTCAGATCTGGTTGGTTGACTTGGTAGAGTTGATAAAGATGGTGGAGTTAGCCTTTCATTCAAATCTACAGTAATGGCTTGATTCATATAATCAAATAATAGAGGATTAGCCTCTTTAAAAAATTTGGTGCTTCATGGATGTTGGAGGTGGAGATGCTGATGTTGGGGGTGGGGATGCAGATGTTAGAGGTGGTGATGGTGCTGTTGGGAGTGGGGATGAAATACACTATCAAAATCAGATATGTACACAATCAAAGTACATGATCATGTACATGGGCATATACTTTTCAGAAAAGTTGTGAATATTGAATATTAAAAATTAAAGATGTACACGGTCAAAGTACATGGTCGTGTAGATTAGGCGTGTATTTTTAATGATAAGGTATAATTCTAACGTGGTGGTTTAACAGTGAGGTGGATGAGAGAGATCAACAGTAATATGACAAATTGTTAGCTACGTCACCATTTAACTGACGGAAGTTAATGTTAGGTATAAAAAATAAAAAATAAAATAGTTAAGCATTAAAATAAAATAAAAAATTGTAAGGTAATTTTTTAAAATTAGCCCTATTTAGAGGTAGTTAAAAGGTATTTAAACTTAAATTTAATATAAAATAGAATTTAGTTTAATCTATTAATATGTGTGTTATTTTCTAAAATTGATAGATAAAAAACATGTGAAAAAAATAAATTTTTAGTAAATAATATATATTAAATGGTTAGACTTATATCACTGTAAAATATTAAGTTTTTGAATACATTAAATGTTATTTTAGTTTCAGTTTTTAAAACCAATGATAACTTTGATCTTCCACATATATCCTTATATATATGTCATTTTAATTAATATGTAATTTATGGCATCAAAACTAAGTTAATAACTAAAATATATTTTTTAAAGGAATAATATGAGAATTTAGTTAATATAAAACTTTTACGTTATATTTTAATATTCTAATTACAGGTCAAATAAAATGAAATAAAGATAAACTATAATAGAATAAAATAACTTTATTTTTATATTATTTTGAAAATATTGTAATCAATTCAAAAATATGAAAATAGTTTTCATTTCATATTCCTCAATTTTGTTTTTTTTCAAAGATGAATATAATGAAGTAAATATAGTTTATAATTTATTATTTTTAAAAATAACCCCAATAAGAAAGTTAATGTCATCATTGACATTTGTTTCGTTCAAGCGATAAATAACTTGATTTATCTATAAAAGAGATTTTGATTTGAAACTTTATAAATAAAACAAAAACTTCGTAAGAGTTTTACTCCCTGGCTATTCAATTTATTTTTTATTAGTCAAGATCAGATATATTTTTTAAATATATAAAAAAATTAAACAAAAAAGTTAATATTTTTTTAAAGAATGTATCTTTTATCTTTTTTATTGGATCCTCCCTGTTACTAGAGAGGATTTTATATTTACCCTATAATTGGGCAGAAGAAGAAGAAAAAAAAAAAAAAGAATTTCTAATTTCTTTGGATTATGGGAAAATGAAGTAAAGAAAGATAAAATTTCTCTTGGTTGAGTTCGGTAAAAAAATGAAAATATTTTTTCAGTTGTTCATTTATTTATTTACAAGAAATGAGAGAAGTACGAATAGGTAAAATGGATATTCTATCTTCTATCCTAAGTCAATAATCACAACATTAAAAGATAGAAAATAAAAAATAATGAATCTCACTAGTAGAATTTTAATCCCTACTCTGAAAATTTGAAGGTAAATTTTTGGACACTTTCAAATTTGAGAGGATATTTATATCCTTCTTTCTTTTTCCAAGACATGTGTAGGTAATTAATTTATGGTGATCTATAGTGTCTTAAAGATTAAGAAAGTATTATATGCCTTTTTATTCGTGAAATTATATAATCATTAATATCATATTAAATATGTATAATAAATAGTTGAAGTTATTGATCAGTACATTAATATTTTTTAATTTTTATAATATTAAAATAATCATAACTACTAATTTAAGAAGAGTATAAGATATTCTTTTATGTTTATAGATATAATAACAAACACCTTAATTTATATCAAATTTAAGTTTAGTTTAGTTTAGTTTAGTAAAAATTTTAATTATTATAAAGAACCTCAAAAGATTATTCTAAAAATTTTACTGCAACTCATTTAACATCATTTTTTCTCCTTTGAGAATGGACAAAACTGATTAGTGCAACTGATCCACATTAAAGGCACAAGCACAATCCATTTAGGTACATCAGCAAAATAAAGAATTATGCAACTTAATAACGAAAGAAACCTAGAAGCTTAATTGATAAGCGACAAATGTGCTACAAACGAGAAAGAGGGGAAAAGTGAGAAGGCCTTGAGTAGGGGGCTCAAATCTCCGTGAAGAACATGTCATGGGTGGCAAGGCATGAAAATGCATGCGGTTGGAAGAGGTTTTGCGGGTTAGGACTTGGCAATGTACGATGGTTTTAATAGATTTGTAGTGGTTTCAATTTGAACAGTGATGACTTTCATTTAATGCTCTTAACTTTGTTGTGCTGTGGCTTTGTAGATGTTCTCAGTTAAGCAGATTTTTTGTTCGGTGACCATCTTGATATTAAAGCAAAGTTATCTTCTAGCGTTATCATGATCCTTTATAACTATGTATGTTGCCATCTGCACCTCACTTAGCCTCTATTTCTCTCCTTCTAAGTAATCCTAACTGCAACTTCTTTCCCTATTTTGCATGTGTAATTTTAAAAATAGTGCTTTGTTAAATTACTTTCAAAGACATTGTACTCCTTTTTTAAACAGAGAATTATGATTTTTTTAATATTTTAGTAATTAAAAATTATTTACATATTTTTAAAATAAATTACTAATCTCACTATTTATTAATATAAAATTAACAATCGTAATTGTTGCACATGTAAGAGAACATTAAATATTTTAGCATCATAAAATTTACCTTTAAAAATAATATAAAAAACTATCAACTTTTTTGTCAATTCATTAATGATATGGATATATCTCGTATATTATAAATAAGGTGGAATACGGGAGAATGACATTAGTACCCTCTAAAATTTAAGGGCATTGTAAAAAGAACATTTTTTAAAACTCAAAATCATTTGTTTGAATTTTATCATTGGTGACTCGCGCGATCCAAACAGAACGATTATGTGATAAACCCTTAACCCCAAATATGCGGAGGAATCTAAATGAGATTCTAGAGGAAATAAATAAAGATGGCTATTCTTTGTGTCTAGTGAGGACCCGTTTTATTATCAATTTAAATGTTAGTGAATTGTCCTAATTTTTAAGAATAAAATAAAGTGATTTAGATAAGGAATAAGAACGTTAGTGATTGTGATCTCTGACCTACCATTTTAGATGCAAGTTCTATTCGGTGGGCATGGAATCCGTTGAATCGATTGAAAAGTATGTTATTAGTCAGCGTTCATTCGTTCAACATGGCCAATTGATGCTCCCCAGTTTATACACATTGTGAGATTCTAATCTCTTCATTTCGATCTTTCACACTTAGGTCGTAGGATAGAGACGTTAATCACTGGGCTTGCTTCTAGTGGTTATTATTTGTTTATCTTTCATTTAAGTTATATATATATAGATACACCATGTCATAACCTTGCTGAGAAATCAATAATCATTAATCCGTAGAAATGTGAGAAGTAAGCAAGTTTATGAAAATTGATGGTTGAAGTATAATCAAACTTACTAGAAATAAAACACTGAGAATTTCATTAATGATAAAATTTGTCAAACATTCGAAACTCAAACAGGGAAAATTCTTAGTACTCCGGAAGAATTTTTCTTTTTTACTGCAAGAAAATTATAATCATTAGCTGTTACTAATTTAGCTTTGAGGGCTCTCACGGAAACATCCTCACACATCCATGGGAATCAAAGGGGACCTGGTCCCGGAGGATTCAGAAATACAGAAGAATTTCAATAACAACTGCCTTAACTAGTGCATTCAACTTCGAAAGTGATGATTGACATTAGACATCAAAAAGTTGATTTATTATATATACAAAATAGTTTGCACTAAGCATATCTCCATCCAACAACTAGACCTTTTTTTAGCAGAAGGAGATCGCCGAAGTGCTCACAACCTCTCGTAACAAAATTTCTTTAAGCGTTAGCAAAATTTATTCAAGCTAACATACAATTACCATCGTAGAAGCACTAGTATCTGATGGATAAAAGCCAGTACTGTAAAACACTTCTTCAACTTAATTTCCTCCGAAAGAAGAACAAAAAGCCCAGTGCCAAATCCTTCGCTGATGTAACCCTGTCAACCTTTTAGCATTCAATCTGGAAATTCAACCAACCAATAAACTTGAATTTGTACCATGACAGTTATTAGTTATTACATTCGCTAGTACAACCAGATCAACACACACATACATACATAAGCACTGAGGCATTCCAAAGCTTTCACACTTGATTACAGCAAAACCACATACGCCATTTTCTTTCTATTGTTAGCAGGTGTAACAGAATTCTGGTAACTGGAGATTGTATTACTTATGACCCAGCAAATAAAAGGAAAGGAAAGAAGTTTTGTACATTCCGTATCTGTTCTTCATCTTCATTAAGCCTTTTCTATCACATCAATGGGCGTTTTCTCCACCTTCTTTGCTGACAAAACAGAAGGTGCAAAATCAAGGAATTATAAGGAAAAAGGCATAGTAGATCTTAACAGGAAAACAGCAGCTCCGTTCCCGTGTCTGATTAATCTAACTATCCCACTGAAACAAGCCCACAATTTGCGTCATCAAACATAACTTAGGAAGGAACCAGTAAGGGACTTTCACCCACCCACGTACCATGTACATTGGTTCTTTCATATTTTGCTTTCTCATAACGTCAATTTGAATCCCTGGGACAGAAAATCATCCCTGGAAAAAAGTAAATCCCATCCATAGAAGTAAGATGAACAAGTTCACAACAATTTTTGAACAGAAACTATACATCAATTTAGAGTAACTTCACGATGTGTAAATCAGAAACGCGAGATGCATATTATTGAAACGTTTCTTAACTTTTCAAGCGGAAGAAAAAAGGTAGCTGTAAAAATGATCATGTCTTAGAATTTTGTTAATATCTTTATGTCAAGACTTGAGCAAGTCAAGGTCAACCCGTAAGGCCGTAACCAGAACACAAACAATTTTGTTACACCGATATATACATATTTTGATTACAGAAAAAAAGTTAAACACGGAACCATATATGATGGGCCCATCAAAGAAACATATTTTTATGATAAGCTAAAAATGCAGTAAAATGAAGATATAGGCGTCAATAAGTACCTTGTCTTCCTTGTACTTTCGCATCCAAGTGTGCGCGGCTTCATACAATTTTCACGGGGTAAAGATGGTGGGACAAGGCTTCCCAAGCAAATCATGCCTTCGTTTAAATTGGGCACTCCCGGAATTCTAACATTACTCACTTGATTATTTTTCAGGTTAAACCAACACAACTTCCTTCGATCATGTTCCAACAGAACCTTAGTCCCATCCCTCGAGTACCCTAACGGCCTAACGCATTTCAAAGATCTCATATCACGCGACTCCACCAGCGTGAACAGTTTGCACCAGCTATCTCTTATTCCGTATTCCTTCATAACCCAAACGTCGATTTTAGTGTTTTGGTAATTTACGATCATGCAGAGGCAGTTTCCCAATAGCGCCACGTCGATTTCGAAGCTTCCCTCGTTGCCCGTGTCGGGTAACGGCACCTCGTGGAAGATCTCGAGGGAGAGATCGAAGGCCACGATTAAATCGGGTTGATCGGGTTGGAGTTTGCGCGTGACCACCCAGTGGAGCGCGTGCCCCACGAACACGCCCATGGTGCGTGCGCAGCAAAGCGCGTAGGGCATGCTTGGGAGGGTTTTCCACGCGTTGGATCTGAGCGTGTAGAGCGTAACCTGGGAATCGAAGGTACGGTGGTGCAAATCCACGAAGTAGGAGATGCGGACGAGTTTGTAATCGGCCGTGAGGGAATCGAAGCCGAAGCCGTAGACGCGGGCGGCGAAGAGGGCAGTGTCGGGGTCGGGACGGCGAGCGGTGGGGATGTAAGGGAGGATGCGGTGTTGGCGGAGGGAAGGGTTCCAGAAGGCGATGTCGTCGGCGACGTTGCAGATGCAGAGAAGGCCGTTGCAAGAACCGAGGAGGTTGATGTTGTTGCTGTAGCACATGAGAGGGTGGTTGAGGTGGTTCACCGGAGAATCTAGGGTTGGGAAATTGATTTCATAGAGGTCCGATTCGAGGCGGAGGATGAGAGTGGTGTTGGTGGTGGAGTTGATGGACCTTCTTAGGTGGAGCGACATGAAGTGGTGGCTGTCGATTAGCCACCGCCATGACTTTGACGTTGCCCGGAATCGGAGTAGGGATTGCACCGGCAACCGGGACAGGATGTCGCTGATTACTTCCGGCGGAAGATCCGCCATCGGCGCGAGTCGGGGATTTCTAAGTAGGGTTTTTTTTTTTCTCTTGCCAAAACGACACGAACCGAAGTTTGACGGCGTTTCAGAGCCTTTGGTTAGAGGATAATTGTCAATTGACGCATATCAATTTCATAGCTGCAGTGTCGTGCTACGCGGGGAATAAAGTTAGGGTCAGTCCTCAGTCCCAATTGAAATGTTAAAAACACAATCTTTTAACATTTTTTCAATATAATTAAATTTTATACAAATATAATAATTATTAAATTAAATCGAGATGTATATAATTTTGATCTTTTAAATAAATAATAAAATTTTTATTAAAAAATATATTAGAATTGAAAAAGAAAAAGAAGAACTCTTTCAAGAAGGACTAAGAGCGTGCTTTGTTACTTAATTTTTTTAATTAAAAAAGAAATGAAGTAAAACATGAGTCCCACCGGAACGGTAACAACGCATGAATTTCCTCCCCGTGTCAGTTGTCTCTTTCTTTCCCTCGTATCTTTTCTTTTCTGTCACTTTTAACAGTTAGACGCGGTAATTAATTTAAGGACAAAACTTAATTAGGTGTATTCTACTTACTTTTAAATACTTATTATTTAAAAGTAATTTTTGTTTTAATTTTTTACAATTATATTGAAAAATGTTTTTCATGATTTTTATAATAATAAATATTTTGTATAAAATTTAGATATAGTATGATAAACATTGATGATGTTGTATAATAAAAGCCAACATTAAACATTAATATAACAATATTAAAAGTTAAACATAGATTATGTACTTATTGTGTGTGTGTGTGAAGAATTTGGGTTGGGCCGATAGAGAAATAAACAATGAATAAATGCAATTATGATGTGCATGATGTTAAATTGCTCAATCAAAAATTTGACTTCTAAGACATTGAGATATGCTAATCTATTGGACCACCACTTTTGATGTGACGATAAGCAATAGCAACCACGAGCACAATCGCTAAGAGGTCGCATCTTGTGTGCAACCCGGGCTGCAGTGACAGGACAAAACTTAGAAGTTTTTTTTTTTAATTAAATTAAAATTTATCTTAGAAGACCCCTTTTTTTAATTAATTTTTTATTTTTAATTGTAAATAATAAAATTATACCAAAGTCTTGTCTATAATATGTCACGCCCAATGCACGTGAGCCAGTGCCCCCCACCTTCCTGTTATTGACAAAATGTGGGCATAAATAGGAGGGACCATAATAAAGTTGATTTGCCCAACTATTACCCACCATAGAGAAAGAGAGCTCTAAACATTCAACAATAACACTTTTACTTTTTTATATTGTTTTTTATATTATTTTATATCCAAAACAAACAGAGTTTTTCCTTTTCTTTATCAAAAAAAGTATCAACATGATTTTTTTTTAAAATAAAGCATAAAAGAAACAACTTTTTAAAGGGAAAAATGTGTTCTTTGGTTGCATGTCTTCTAACTATTCAAAAGTTCCATTAGTTTGTGTGCAATAGCAAGCATCTACGTTTCTAAACACAAATTCTTTCCTTCGTGGACTCAATGCTAGCCAAAGTATTAGTATCCACACTTATTTAATAAGTGAGTTGGATTCATCAAGACATCACATTAATTTGTCACTATTAACGGGTTAAATCTTAGTATATATGAACTCATAAATTTGTTTCAATGAGTGTTTTAAATTCACTTTCCATTTTCTAATACGAAGTTTCCAAAAATCCTAATTCAAACTCGATTCTTATTCACATTTTAACCTCTCGTCTTTTTTTTAACTTTTTTTTCAATATTTAGACAAGTTAACTCAAATATCTTTTCAAAGTTTTCATTCATGTTATAAATAATTTTGACCAAACTAAATTTGATATAAATTAGCTTACAAGTCTCCCACAAGCCATTTGGCGTATTTATATTTTAATAATACACAAAATTAGACGATATAATGGCTTGGTAAACTTAAATAACTAAAATAAGCATTCAAGGTGTACCGTGAAATTTCACAGCGTCCAAATATGTATTTATCTTGCTCGTAAAGTTAAGTTTACTAAACTCACGTAAATTACATCTTAGAAAATGATATTGTCACTGCATTTGAAAAAAAAAATGTATAGTAAAACTATGGTTAAAAAAAATAAAAATACTGTGCTTTCTTATATATGAATGTTATGATCTTGTCAAGCCATTGTAAACTTTAGGCCTATTAGATCTATTTTCAGCCTAGTACAAAGGACAAGAAGGCTGACACTATGAACGAGAGGACAGGGTGCCTACAAACATCTTGATATAGGCCACAAATGACCAATTCCCTCGTTAGGCTGGATGCACCATGCAAGCCCACCAAAATGTCTCAATTTGCAATTGAGATATATATATATATAAGAAAAAAAAATTCAAGATTTTTTGTTCAAGTCATCATTTCAGACAACCCACTTTGTTTAGCCGGAAACTTATTTCAACATAACAAAAATGATCCATTAACAATGATTACAAAATTCAAAATAATTTTAATATATATATATATATATTATTAATGAATAAATTTTCACTTTAATCTCTAAAATATATAGTATTATTTATATTAATTTTTTAATTTAAAATTTTAATTTTTAAAATTAACAATCGTCAATTATATTAATTCTTACTGTTGAGAAATGTTAAAATTAAGTAATTAAGTGATGAATATTTAATGACACATAACAGTTTATTCTCAATACAAAATAACGTCGTTTTAAAATTTTTAAAAAATAATTTATTTTCATCCTGAAATTTAACATTTTTGGACAACAAAATTCTTTCTCGTCTTTTGCTTTGTTTTTTTCCATGACATCTTCTTCTTTTCTCCAATCATTACTGTAATAACATTTATGTTGTAAAAGTCATTTGTCTTAAGTTTTTTTAATTGCATAACTCGATCCAAGTCTCAATTTTATAAGTGGACAATCAATTGTATCGTGATCGATTTAATGAAAGAGATCTCATATGTAAGACAATGAATACTCTTATATTTTCTTACAACAATTTCTTTAAAGTTTAGAGTCTCTTCAAGACTAACAAAAGAAAGATTATCACATTTTTCTTCAAACATGTTACAAATGTTGGTTTTATCATTTTTACACTTGGTTGAAAAAAGGAAAAAGATGTTGTGGAATAAAACAAACAAAAAATGACAAGAAACTTTATTGCTCAAAAATATTTAAAGTCAAAGACAAAAATATTAATGTAATTCTTAACATTATCAAAGCTCATTATTTCTTTATTGTTTATCGTTGCCTCTAGGTCCTATGTTGTTATATCTTTCATGAGATTAATGTAATTCTTAATATTTTTTTAAACACTTTTGTGTAAAAATCCTTTGCACTCTCCAAAATAATTATAGATACATTGTATCTTTCATGCAAAGTTACAAGAATTTTTATTTATGTTACTATTCTAGAATCAACAAACTTAATGTCAATAATCTTACAAAATTACTTATAAACCCTTGTACATCCTAACTACATATTATGTTCATTTATTTAGATGCAACCAAATTACACATTTATTATATACTTATAAACAAAAGTGATCTTTTAATGAATTGAGAGGGATAAATTCTTATATTTAACTATTACATAATATTTTGAAAAAGGAACAAACATTTATCCCTTTACTAATAAACTATCTATTATGTTGAGGTGAGGATGTTGGCTTCTATAAAAAGTGAAACACTCCTATTTTGTTGAAAGTTTTAAGTTTCTTGCTTTTGTAATGTATGGTTAAGATATTGATCTCTCGTTTTTTAGATCATTGTGTGCACTATGTTATTGATTTGTATGCATTGGTGTAGTAATTTTTGTATCTTTAGATTTGTCTCTTACTTGTAGTCTTACATGTGTTTTAGAACCTTGTCTTGCACTTTAGATTTATTTATTGCATAGGTTCTTGTTGATTTTCTTAGCAATTCAAGTTTGTGTATTAAGTTCAACATTTGCATGGTTTGAATCCTTTCATTCCTTATATATTATTTTATTAGATTTCACATTACTTTTAATGTTTTGAGGGTGATGATTTTGATAAAGATAGTTGATGAAACACTAAAGAATACCTATTGTGTGCATTATTTTATTAGATTGTTAAGAAATAGAGGTTTCTGATAATCATCTTCCATAATTTTTTATAAGTTTAATTATATTTTTTGTCCTTATAAATATTAAGTATTTTGTAATAAGTTTTTATAAAATTTTTATTATAATTTAGTCCTTAATAAATTAAGAAGTTAAAATTTAATCAATGTTGTTGAGTCCTTTTTGTTAAGTATTAAAATAATTGATAGAAAGTCAACTCTCAACACTATTACGTGACATGCATTATTATTTAATTTTTTTATTAATTAAAATTAATATTTATAAATAAATTCTTGAATATTTTATATAATTACAAATAAATTCATCTTCTTCTTATTTTCCTTTACAATACTCCAAACCCTTCCCCTCCTCTTCCCCTATTACCCCTCCCTACACCTCCATTCTCATCTCTATCCCTTCTCCTTCTCCACACATCATCCCTACCACCCACTCCCCTTAAACACAACCCCTCCCACTCCCTACACTTCCATCCCTGTCTCCTCTCCTAAACTGAAACTAGCTACCCTTCCCTCTCCCCCGCACCATCTTATGATGCTTGTGTTATGGGTGACAAATTATTGTCAATAAGATTGATAAAAATTTAAGTCATCGTGTATATACGATTGATTTAAGGTTTTATTATTAATTCTTTGTATTTAATAATAATGAAATTCGGTGAACAGGTTGAAAATATCATATCCATAACTGACTAAGATGCAAGCCCATGCAATCTTTCAGGCAGTTGTTTTAATGAGTAACCACGACATCAAAGTTCTTCCAAAGATAATGGTTCCACTTATTGATACACTTGGGGCATGATCCTTTTCCTTACTTATTTCTTCCTTTCTTGTTTGTCCTTCAAAATGCTTCACATATATCTAATCATATAGGCATGAAATTTTTTAGAAAAATCTTAGACCATGCTATACTTTGAGATGTTGCCCCTAGGATGTAATTATTACATGATATAATAAATTAATTAAATAATGTGACTCATATGAAATATCATTATGGACTTATAAAAGGGCTTATTGGTTATTATGGGAAGTTACTTACGATTATCAACTTGATGGAGGTTAAACAAAATATATAAAGGGGTTCTGCCAAGAATGTCTCTCATTATTAATCATCGAGCGTGTGAGAAA